GGTATAAGGACAAACATATAGACCACTGTGATAGATTAGGGAGCCCAGAAATAACTCTTTACATATATGCTCATTTGATTTCCTGCAAAGGTGCAATTCAATAGGGAAAGGACAGTCTTTTCAATAAATGGTGCTGGGAAAACTGGATATCCACATGTGAAAGAATGAAATTGGACTATAAAACTCTTAGAAGAAAACAGGGGAAACTTTTCATGACATTAAATTTAGCAATTATTTCACGGATATAACACCAAAAACATAAGGAACAAAAAATATAAATGAATTGGACTTCATCAAAATTAAGAACTTTTGTGCATCAAAGGATACTATCATGAAAGTGAAAGGACAACCTACATAACAGAAGAAAATATTTGCACATCATATCTCCAAGAAGGAATTAATATCCAGAATATGTAAAGAACTCCTGCAACTCAACAACAAAACAAAAAACCCAATTTAAAAATGGGCAAAGGACTTGAATAGATATTTCTCCAAAGAAGATACCCAAATGACCAACACATGAAAAGATGCTCAACATCATTAGTCAATGGTGAAATGCAAATCAAAACAACAATAAGATGCCACTTCACACCCTCTAGGTTGGCTATTTTTTAAAAAGGAAAATAGTATGTGTTGGTGAGGATGTGGACAAATTGAAAACCTTGTGCATTGCTAGTGAGAATGTAAAATAGTTCAGCTGCTCTGGAAAACAGTTCAGTTGTTTCTCAAAAGGTTAAACCTGTAACTACCATATAATCCAGCAATTGCACTTGTAGGTATAGATCTAAAAGAATTAAAGAAGGGACTGAAACAGATACTTGTGTACAAATCATAGCAGCATTGTTCACAATAGCCAAAAGGTGGAAGTAACGCAAGGGTCCATCAACAGATGAATGGATAAACAATATATGGTATATACATACAATGGAATATTATTCTGCTTTTAAAAAAAGATAAATTTATGGCCCTGCAGTGGCTCACACCTGTAATCCCAACACTTTGGGAAGCTATGGTGGAAGGATCATTTGAGGCCAGGAGTTCAAGGCTTGCGACCAGCCTGGGCAACATAGGGAGACCCTGTCTCTATTATTTTAAAAATATGAAGGAAGGCAAGAAATAAATTTTGATACATGCTACATCTACAGCCCTTGAAAACATTATTCTTAGTGAAATAGGCCAGAACGACAGATATTATATGATTCCACTTATATGAGGTACTTAGAATAGACAAATATATAGAGATAGAAAGTAGAATAGAGGTTATCAGGGTCTGGGGGGTGGGCAGAAGGGGGTGGTGTTGTTTAATTGATACAGAGTTTTTATCGGGGATGATGAGAAAGTTTTGGGTATTGATATTCATGGTTGCACAGCATTGTGAATATATTTAATGATGCTGAATTGTACACTTGCAAATGGTTAAATGATAAATTTTATGTATAGTTTACCACATTAAAAAAGTTTTCCAATTTAAAAAGAGATTCTAGTCACATTCTAAAAAATAATATCAGAAGATATTAATAATCAGAAGATATATAAATAATATCAGAAGATGAGAAGACTGCACATAAGTTATAGAAAGTGTGCTTTGGGCTTTGTCTTGTTTTGTTTTTATTTTTATTTTGTTTATTTATTTTGAGACAGGGTCTTTCTCTGTCACCCAAGCTGGAGTGCAGTGGTGCGATCACAGCTCACTGCAGCCTTGACCTCCTAGGCTCCAGCAGTCCTCCCACCTCAGCCTCCCAGGTAGCTGGGACCACAGGCATGTGCCACCATGCCCAGCTGATTTTTGTATTGTTTTGTAGAATCAGGGTTTCACTATGTTGTTCAGGCTGTTCTCAAACTGCTGAGCTCAAGCAGTCCACCCACCTCAGCCTTCCAGAGTGCTGGGATTATAGGCATGAGCCACCATTCCTGGCCCCTTGTCTTGTTTTGGAGAGTTATAAAGATAATGAGTATTTTCAGACATTTTCAAAAATGTGTAGATAGGTCAGACGCGGTGGCTCACGCCAGTAATCCCAACACTTTGGGAGGCTGAGACGGGTGGATCACTTGAACTCAGGAGTTTGAGACCAGTCAGGGCAACATGGTGAGACACCATCTCTACTAAAAATCCAAAAAAATATCTAAGCGTGATGATGCATGCCTTTGGTCCCAGCTAATCGGAGGCTGAGGTGGGAGGATCGATGCTTGAGCCTGGAGGGCAGAGGTTGCAGTGAGCCAAGATGGGGCCACTGCACTCCAGACTGGGTGACAGTGCGAGACAATGTCTGGGGAAAAAACAATGTAGATAAATATTATGTTAATTTTTTAAGATGGGGTCTCACCATATTGCCCAGGCTGGACTCAAACTGCTGGGCTAAAGCGATCCTCCATCTTCAGCCTCTGAGTAGAACTACAGGCATGTACTGCCATGCCTGGCTGATTACATTAAATTTTAATACTGAAAGATTATAGATTTTGTCTATAGCTTCCAAACTAATAGGGAGGATAGAAAAGAATTAAAACAAAACAAAACTTTACTAACACAATAGAAGGTAGGAAAAGAGGGTGGGGAAAGGCAAAGAGGAATGGATAATGGGAAAGACAAAATAAGATATCAGGTCAGAAATTAATCAGATACACTAAAAAGCTACTCATTAACATATAGTGACTGTAAGGTTGGGTAGAGAAGCAAAATCTAGCCACATGCTATTTACAAGAGATATACCCAAACAAAATGACCTAGAAGGGGGTTATTAAAGGCACAGAAACAGATATACCAGGAAAATACCAATCAAAATAAAGCTGGTATTACAATATTATAATAAAAATATCAGACCCAAAGCCTGGAATTTAGAAAAATTAATAAGATATAGACTTTCAATATTTCCTGTGTGGCTAGCTTCAAAGATACATTCTACCTGGCATCACTTACCTGTCTTTCTTATCTTTCTAAATCAATTTCCACAAATATTTATGAGTAATTATGAGTTAGGTAATATAGTAGAGACAAAGATGAGTACAATCTGTGCTTACTCCATAGAACTGACAGTCTAATAGGGGAAAGTCCAGTAACTTTAAAACAAAGTAGCAAATTGTGAGCACTGTTAGAGAATTTTAAGCGAGATACAATGGAAATTGGGCATGGGAGATAAAATCAGTAAAAGACTTTACACAAAATTTGGCATTTGAGATAGTCTTTAAAAGCTATAACAAAGCCACAATTTCATTAGACCATGACCTAGACATCAACTTTTCTCTCTTAGAATATGAAGCATGCTTTGGGACTACTTTGCTGGATAGCTTCATGAATTTAGGCTACAGTATTATCATTTCAGACTTCATTTGCTGGAAATGTAGCCTACTGCATTTACCTATAACAGCTCATTTCCTGTATTTTTTATTTTCCTTTGCTTAAGACAATAGCACTGCATGGTTAGGTTAACACTTTCGTTGCTTTTGAAAGCCCCTCTACTAACCTAATCTTTTGCCAGATGATGTCCTCATACTTCCTCAGGGTGTCTTAGAAGTAGATTTCTATGCTAGCTGTCCATTAAAGAAGAAGAGTATATAGTTTGCTTTTTCATAAAGTGCTGTTACTATTAACAGGAAGGAACTAACTTTATCCTAAATGAAAACATACTCTATATTAAAGAGAAGTTAGACTCTTTCCCATGAAGTTGGTCTGAGAGAAGGGAAACGGAATAGATGGCTCCTGAAATTTTTTCTTGTTCCATTCAGAGTCAGATTTTTTCCCCCGCTTTATATGGTCAACAAATGAAAATTGGCATTTGGAGTTACCACCATTCCCCCCATTGCTTGCCATCTTCAAATTTAATGTCTGCTTCTCCACAAAGATTAACATGTTTTCCGCTCATGATTTACTTGTCAGAGAATTTAGAAGTTTTCTGGAACCTGAAGTTTGCTCTGGTAGGGATGATTACTGGATAATTGCCTATTCTTCAGTGGAATTTCCATTTTTAGATTACACCAGGCTCTACAGCCTTTATTTCTTTGGCAGGAAAACCCAAAGTCAATGGAGTATATTTTTTCCCTTCCCTGGCCCAGCTTAAACAATGACTCACTTGGGCCCTGGGGCTTTGCTTCATACTCTCATTTAGGGGCCACTTTATACCCTTGTTTCTATTTTCCTTTCTTGTTCTGTTTGGACCCTTTATATCCTTTGGCACATGGGATTTGTCTCTGGGGTTATTGTCAGAGAGATATATAAAACCACCCCAAACTGGAACAGACACTCCAGTTATGTCCCCATAAGCCATGTTATCCTTATGGCAGCTGGTATAGGCCAGGGAGAGTACAGAAAGAATTTTTTTTTTTTTTTTGAGAATGAGTCTCACTCTATTGACCAGGCTGGAGTGCAGTGGCATGATCTCAGCTCACTGCAACCTCCACCTCCCAGGTTCAAGTGATTCTCCTGCCTCAGCCTCCCGAGTAGCTGGAATGACAGGCGCACACCACCATGCCCGGCTAATTTTTGTATTTTTAGTAGAGACAGGGTTTCACCCTGTTGGCCAGGCTGGTCTCCAACTCCTGACCTCAAGTAATCCACCCACCTTGGCCTCCCAAAGTGCTGGGATTACAGGCATGAGCCACTGCGCCCAGCCCAGAAAGAATATCTTTAAGGAAACCTAATTCCAAATGGAGTGGAGGGAAAAGTATTCTCCAAAAAGGAAAATATGAGTGCCAGTGTCATCCAGTTAGAGACTAAAAGGCTTTCCTCCATATGCGATGCTCTAATGACTGATTTAGATGTCCTCTGTGTGTACCTGTGGAAGGTGGGAAGCACTCAGAGGAACTGGCCTCCAAGAGTTTTCAGAGAGATATGGTTATATGAAGAGACTTCCCCATAGAAGGGCTAGGTCTAATCTAGACTTCAGAGTTTTGTTGGGGAGAAAAATTCCCTCTTTTTGGCAGTGGTTCTCTCTGGTCTCAATTTTTCATTCTGATTCCAGCCTTCTGGATTCCATCTAACAATGATTTCTTGATTTTTCTCTTTGCAGTTTTAACAGTGTATGCCAGGGAACACACATTCTCTTTCGAGAATTCAGCTTCGTCCAAGCCACCCCCCACAATAGGGTATCATTTTTACGAGCCTTCTGGAGATGCTTCCGAACTGTGGGCAAAAATGGCGGTAAGTCTTCCCGAATCCTTCCTTCCTTCCTTCCTTCCCTCCTACCTTCCTTCCCTCTCTCTCTTTTTCTTTCTCTTTCTTTCTTTCTTTCTTTCTTTCTTTCTTTCTTTCTTTCTTTCTTTCTTTCTTTCTTTCTTTCTTTCTTTCTTCCTTTCTTCCTTTCTTCCTTTCTCTTTCTTTCTTTCTCTTTCTTTCTCTTTCTTTCTTTCTTTCTTTCTTTCTCTTTCTTTCTTTCTTCCTTCCTTTCTTCCTTTCTTCCTTTCTCTTTCTTTCTTTCTTTCTTTCTCTCTCTCTTTCAAACTTTTTCTTTTGTTCCTATAAATATTGTTTGAATGCATGCTATTCAAGGTATTTAGAATACCTCACTTTTGAGGAGTTGTCTGGTTTATGTCAAAGATATTACTATTACCACTACCATCACTAATGATACCTATTAAGAGCCAAGTGTAGCTCTTTACGTGTAGTAACTCGTTTATCTTTACAAGGGCTCTCTGTGGTAGATACTATAATCCCCATTTTGTAACTAACGAAACTGAGGATCAGAGAGGTTAAGTAACTTGGCAAGGTTACATAGTAAATTCTGGGCCCAGATTTATACCCAGGCAGTCTGACTCCACAGCCCTTGCTCTTGGCAGATATTAAAATGCCATGCAGTAAATACAAGGAATAATGTGAATACAAAGAAAGAAACTCCTGAATGGGGGTGGGATGGGGATACTGTTGTTAGAGGAGGGAGAGAAAAGTGGAGCAGAGAAGGTCCTCCTTAGAACTGGCTGTTTGATCTAAGCTGGGAAGGAAGAGTTGGAATCATTCACATGGATAAAGGAGAGAAGGGCATCCTAGGTAGAACATATGCTGAAGCACAAAAGAACCTGGAATACTTATGTAACAGGTCAGAATGTCTAGGGTCTGTGTGAAGTTTGTGAAGGAGGTTAGGGGAGATGAGACTGTGAAGGAATAACGGAGCTGCTGAAAGATCATTTTTTAGCCATATAAAAGAAATTGGGCCAGGCACAGTGGCTCAGCCTATAATCCCAGCAGTTTTGGATGCCAAGGCAGGTGGATCACTTAAGGTCGGGAGTTTGAAACCAACATGGTGAAACCCCATCTCTACTAAAAATACAAAAATTAGCCAGGTGTGGTGGCACACTCCTATAATCTCAGCTATTCAGAAGGCTGAGAAACGAAAATCGTTTGAACCCTGGGGGACAGAGGTTGCTGTGAGCCGAGATTGTGCCACTGCAATCCAGCCTGGGCGACAGAGCAAGACTCTGCCTCATAAAAAAAAAAAGAAAAAGAAAAGAAAAGAAATTGGGGCTGGATGTTGTGGCTCACACCTGTAATCCCAGCATTTTGGGAGACCAAGGTAGGAGGATCACTTGAGCCCAGAAGTTTGAGACCAACCTGGGCAACATACTGAGACTTTGTCTCTACAAAAAAATAAACAAAATTAGCCAGGTGTGGTGGCACATACCTGTAGTCACAGCTACTTGGGAGGCTGAGGTAGGAGGATCACTTGAGCCGGGGGAGGTTGAGGCTACAGTGAGCCATGATTATGCCACTGACTCTAGCCTAGGTGACAGAGCGAGATTCTGCCTCAAAACAAACAAACAAACAAAAAAGTTAAATTTTATTCTCTGGGTGTTATTTGAAGGCTTTTTTTGGTTTTGGGTTTTTTTTTTTTAAGTCCCAGTTGCAACCAGGTGCGGTGGCTCACGCCTATAATCCCATCTCTTTGGGAGGCCATGGTGGGCGGATCACAAGGTCAGGAAATCGAGACCATCCTGGCTAACACGGTGAAACCCCATCTCTACTAAAAAATACAAAAAAATTAGCCGGGTGTGGTGGCAGGTGCCTGTAGTCCCAGCTACCCAGGAGGCTGCGGCAGGAGAATGGCGTGAACCCGGGAGGTGGAGCTTGCAGTGAGCCGAGATCACGCTACTACACTCCAGCCTGGGCGACAGAGCAAGACTCTGTCTCAAAAAAAAAAAGACCCCGTTGCCCAGGCTAGAGAGCAGTGGCTTGATCATAGTTCACTATAACCTTGAGCTTCCATGCTCAGGTGATCTTCCTAACTCAGCCTCCTAGCTAGCTAGGACTACAGGTCCATGCCCACCGTACCTAGCTAATTTCAAATGTTTTTGTAGAGACAGGGTTTTGCTATGTTGCCCAGGCTGGTCTCAAACTCCTGAACTCAAGGCCTCAGCCTTCCAAAGCACTGGGTTTACAGACATGAGCCACCATGCCCCATCTTATTTGAAGGCTTTTAGATAGGAGAGTGGTGTGGTAATATCTGAGCTCTAGAAAGATCATTCAAAAGGCAGTGTAGAAGATGGTCTAGACTGGAGGCAAGGAACATAGAAGTCTGGTAGTAGTTGAGTGAGAGATTAGAGCCAACACTAAGGCAGTATGGAGATGGAAGGGGCGCTTTTAGAGATAGAATCCATAGGATTTGGTGATTGGATTTGGCATTAAGATGAGAGAGAAGACCAGTGGTAATTTCCAAGTTTTTGGCTTGGGCCACTGCCTAAGAATATTAGAATATTTTTTTAAAGCCTTCAAGTAATAGCCACAGAATAAATTTCAACTTTTATTTTTATTTTTATTTTTGACAGGGTCTTACTCTGTCACTAAGGCTGGAATACAATGGCACAGTCTCAGCTCACTGCAGCCTCGACCTTCCAAGCTCAGGTGATCCTCCCACCTCAAGTAGCTGGGAATATATTTGTGCACTACCATGTGTGGCTAATTTTTGTGTTTTTTATAGAGTTAGGGTTTCACCATGTTACCTAGTCTGGTCTTGAACTCCTGGGCTCAAGACACTTGTCCACCTCAGCCTCCCAAAGTGCTGGGGTTATAGGCGTGCGCTACCATGCCTGGTCTCCTACTTTCATATTATGTGTTTTTATAAATACCTTTAAGGCAGTTGCTTGCTTGCTTGCTTGCTTTTCTTTACTTTTCTTTCTTTCCCTCCCTCCCTCCCTCCCTCCCTTCCTCCCTCCTTCCTTCCTTCCTTCGCTCCTTCCTTCCTCCCTCCCTCCCTCCCTCTTCTCTTCTCCCTTCTCTTCCCTTCCCCTCCCCTCCCCACTGAGGTTATAGTAAGTGAATAGGTAGACTCCCTGCTTTTGAATTTATGAGATTCCCCACTATGCTCTAATCAATGCTACTGCTACAAAACTGTAAGTTTTCTAAATAGCTACTAAATATACAGCTATTAAACTTTTATATATAGTTACTAACTCTTTTCTAAAACTTTTCCACCCAATATCTTATTAGTTCTACTGTCCTAAGAAATAGGTAAAGTGGGTATTATTGTGCCCATTTTATAAATAATGAAATTGTGTAACTTGCAGAAACATTTCATGGTGGATTAGTATCAAAGCTAAAAATAGAACCCAGATTTACTAATATGCTGATGTGCTATTTCTACTATTTTTACTTCAGTCATTGCCTCTTTGACATGTAACTCTGGAGATCATGCATCTCCATTACAGTATTATTAAAGAAGTACTTAGTGTACTGAGGATCGTATCATTTCCTTTACAGAATAAATGCACTAATAGGCAAAAACCAATGTGGACTCAATTTTAAGTGAAGCAACTCAGAAACACTATTCCATTGGTCTCTATATAAACAAAACTGGGAACTGTGAGTGTATAGGTAAAGCTTGTGCTATATTAACAGAGGTTGTCTTTCCCAGTCCCTTACTCAGTCAGCAAATATTTGTTGTAGACCACCTAGTACAGTCGTCTCTCAGTATATGCAGGGAGTGGTTCCAGAACCCCCATTTATACCAAAATCCATGCATAATCAAGGCCTACATTAGTCCTGTGGAACTCTCATATGTGGAAAGTCAGTCTTCCGTATACAGGGCTTCATACCCCTAGAATAGTGTATTTTCAATCCATATTTTGTTGGAAAAAACCCCCCTAAAAGTGTAGATCTGCACAGCTGAAACCTGTGTTGTTCAAGGGTCAGCTGTATATTGAAGAATATGACTAGATCTAGTTTCTGTGAGACAACATATGAAGATAACTATGGAAAACGGTCTTCAGATAGCCTTAACTTTTTTGCTGATACAGAAGTGGGGCCTCTTCAAGAATATATTTACTATCACAAGGGATTCATGTAGCATTTGGACTCTTAGCAGATGTGGGTTTCTTTATCTTTCTAATAGCAGCTGCCAGTGACTCATCCAGCTGCTAAGAATAAGCAGCTCCAAATTGCCTGTTTCTCCTTGTGCCATAAACAAACACAAAACATAGATTTTATGCTGGCTGTTTATTGTTATGCTTCTTCTTTTTTTTTTTGAGACGGAGTCTCGCTCTGTTGCCCAGGCTGGAGTGCAGCGGCGCGATCTCGGCTCACTGCAAGTTCTACCTCCCGGGTTCACGCCATTCGCCTGCCTCAGCCTCCCAAGTAGCTGGGACTACAGGTGCCCGCCACCATGCCCGGCTAATTTTTGTATTTTTAGTAGAGACGGGGTTTCACTTTGTTACCCAGGATGGTCTGGATCTCCTGACTTTGTGATCCACCAGCCTGGGCCTCTCAAAGTGCTGGGATTACAGGCGTGAGCCACCATGCCCGGCCTATTGTTATGCTTCTTAGTCAGACAGCCTCAGACTTCTTAGACTAAACGCAACATCGGTGTCTAGGTGATCCTAAAATAATTGGTTAAGTAGCTTTAATATATTCTCAGCTTTTTCTAGGAAACTTCAGAACATCTTTCTAAACCGGAATGTGTCAATCTCCAATTTTAATCCAGAATGAGTGAAAGCTCTTGGAGGCAAGATTCTAAAGGAAAGGATTTATTAAGCCCCATTTTATCAATTATAATGCCAGGTACCTGCCTACTGAGTGGAACTCCTACTGCATTGTTCTTCTGCAGATAACTTCCTTAGAATGTCATGTGCATACTTGAGCATGATCAAGTGGAAACTAACTCTTCTGGGAGGTAGCAAAAGAAGAGCATACGTATCTAAAAATGAAGCCACTTGTAG